CCACCTTTATGGAAATATCCAAGCAGGGTGGGCCCGTGCTCCCTTCCTTCGATTTCCCTCTCCCTCCAACCCCGCCCCGTGGATTTCTCGCGCGCTCCAGCACAGTGCACAGATGACAAAAAAGGAGAGCGCGTCGTCGAGGTATCGCCATCCTCGACGGTGGCCGGCCTCACTAAAAAACACGGACCGCCAAGTCGGTGATTTATCTCGGTTTCCTCCACCTCCCCCTTTGCACCGCCCCGCTCTACCAGTAAACGAGGCAATTATCGCTCTCGCTTTTCCATTATCCGCCTACTTTTCCCGACCACATGTAAGTGGTATATATAGAGAGTCACCGAGTCGTGGAGGTTTCTCGGCTCGATAAAGATTTACGCAGACGAAGCGAGAGGCATCGCGCGCGCGCGCCATGTCGCATTTAAAATACTTCGAAGAGGAACCCCAAGGAATTCGTCTCGCTTTACACGAGACCCAAGACGACACCACGGTTATTTCGCGGACAACCCACGGTCACAACAATACCCGTCCTTCCTCAATCCAATATTTCACCAACGCGTTCTTAATTTCCAAGGCGGGAGAGAGAGATGCGGAATGAAGAAGTGGGTTGATATGACGATAGCAACGGCAACGGTGGGGGCTTTGATTATTCATGTGAGCAATGGGGATAAGGTAGGCGGAAGGACCTCCCTATTGTGTTACCCGATCGACACGGCCTTGCCGCCTCGGATTTCGATCGGCTATCGTCCATTGTTCGCATGGAGACGCGCGCGTAATTGCTCGAATTTTACGGGAGAAGAGGGGAAGCGGTCAATTATCGCGCTCGTGTATCGACGTCGCGCGCATCCACCGGACTAATGACTGCCGGAAAACGGTAACCCGACGCTCGTTTTTACGGGGCGCCTTGGCTCTTCCGCCAGCCAGGAACTGTCCCACCTTATGACGCGCCCTGACCCGTGATGCGCTTAATTACGTAGCCGAACTGTCAGGGCCTAATGTTCGTCGGTAGTCAAACGTTGAAAAGTCTCCCATACGGCAGCAGCAGCCGTCGCTCGCCCCGACTTACCATGGCCCTCGAGCAATATCATCTACCCGGTCCATCAAGATTAACTCCACAAGTTGTCCAGCTCGGCTTCCGCGATAATAGATTCGCTGAAACGAGATGGGCGGTGGTGGTCCCTATTTGGCGAGCCGGAGTAACGACGGTTAGCTTAAGCGAATACGTTGGTCAAAGCGATGGAAAATCGGTGGAGCGTTATGAGCGTTATGAGCGTTATGAGCGTTATGAGCGTTATGAGCGTTGTGAACGTATGAGCCTGGAATCCTCGGAACGGAGGACGTTGGCACGGAGTTGTCGAGTGACACGCAGCTTCGGAGGACGCGAGGCTCGAAGCGGTGCTTTAAATTTTAATTCCGGCGTGCGTTAAAGCCGCGCAGCTTTTTCTCACTCGCGCGAGGAATAATTATCGCTTCGTCGGCGTCGGCGACGGTGTCGCGGTGAAGAGACGCGCCGGCTCTCGGCGACGACACCGACTTCTCTCCGCGCGAAGAATTTGAATTCCGTGTAAGTGGCGAGGTCGAGGAGGCGCCTGGCACCGCTGCACTCTCGAGTGGTCATTAATTTGCCAGTAGTTAGAGGCGCGTAGACGAGGGCGTAAGCCCGACCTCTTTTCTTTGCTGGCCGTGAAAAACTTCTCCTCGCTCCGTCTCAATGCGCTCTCCGAGTGAGATCAAAAAGATTAGCAACCAGCGAAATTATGCCGGATTAATGAAATCGTGGCCTTAAGAGGCTTTGGCTGCTTCGTCCTTCAGTGCATGCGTGCGCGAGTGCGTGCGTACGTACGTGCACGAACCCGATTTTAGTGGGATGGAACGAGCTGGTGGCGGTGGGCCACGTCCATCGACCGGACCAGTGAAAAAATGACAAGCGCTGGACGAAAAAGGCGAGCGAGAGTAGACGCCGATACGATGATTCTCTCGCGGCGCCCCGTAAATCCTGGGAAATGCCATTGACGCGAATAGTTTATATGGCCGGCGTCGATACACGGCCCCACGGACCCGCTATTGCTGGTTTTATGCGGTCGACCGTATTATCTCGTGCGCGTATCGCCGTGATTTTTCAGCGGACTTATGCGGGACGCGGAGGGCCTCCACCCGTGCATCCTCCCGTCCTCGGCGAGCGTCTCGCGAGGCTTAAGTGTCGCGTGCCCATGCGATTCGCTCGCGATAGAGTGGCCCCGCTTAACGACCAAGCTCTACGTTTTAAGTCCCGGCACTATACATCCTCAGCAGCATGGAAATAACGGCGATATGCAGGGGCCAACCAAGCACTCTGCCGATATACCCCGGAGAGCATTTCATTACGGAGGCGAGCGTTTTCATGTAAATGGCGCTCTCGTGTAGCAGCTCCTTTCAGGGTTCCAATTCGTTGCAAGTTAAATGGAAATTTGTTGGCACGGAGCTTATTACGATGATTGAGGACTAAAAGGCCAAAGTTAAAAAATGAGCCAATTTTAAATATTTATTCTTTCACGTTTTATTTATATGATAATTCCGTTTAATTTCTCGGGCTTCGGTGCAAAGACTCGAGATTAATATACTTGGGATATTTGTAATTCATAAAGCATTACATATTTATATTTATTCATTGTCAGTTAGGCCCTTAAAATATCGTCGCTTCCTTAGCATCGGCAAAAAATTATGTTATGCTCGATAATGCTCGCGGACGTAATCGATAATTTTTGCGGACAATCGTATGAAGCCGTTCGTGTTATCTGATATCGTAAACCGTTCGTCTTTCAACATCCACTTTCGGTTTATTAAATTAATTTTTTATCCCAAGTACGATAACTCCAATCTCTATAATTTATCAAGTTACGGTAAATGTCGCCTTACACTCGCTCATCCTAAAGGCCAAGGAGGCCCTATAAGGATTATTCTTCCCTTCGAAAAATAAACATTTTTTTTGTCTTTATCGAGACAAAGCTGCGCGTATCAACTTAAGAACGAAGCCCCGCGCGAGCCACCACTCACGTAATACCTTCGTCACCCAAGAATTTTGCTACGTTCCGACACTGTTTGGCCTTCTCGTCCCGTGATATGGAATCGTAAACTTTTTTAAACTGAAAAATTCGAATTTTCCCACACCTCGGACGCGTAACTTGTAATGAAAAAACTTTTAACTTGATCATCCTGGTCTACGCTATTTACGAGCTTATGAAACTCTCAACTTTTATTTCCGCCAGACTAAAAAAAACAAGAGAAAAAAGTGACGGAGAGGGGTGGGGGCAGCAGGAAAAAGAATGAGAGAGAGAGAGAGAGAGAGAGAGAGAGAGAGAGTGAAAAGCATCTTGACTCAAAACAGGTGATGGAGGTGGACAACCAGGGTGGTGAGAGATAAAAAATTGCAATTTTCAGTGATGCTTTCAAGTCATAAATGCGGAGGCCGTGAAAGAGCAAAGAGCAGAAAAAAAGTGATTGCGAATTTGGCGATAATTTTTCGTGGAAAGTTCGCCGAGGGACCAAAACGCGAATATTAGTTTGGATTTTACGAGAATACGGTCGACTGGTCCGCAATTCAAATTGCCGTCCGCTTTTAAAAATTCAAAAGCTCCAGCTTTAAATATTCATAGCTACAAGGCAATTTCTTAAAGGATATTCTAATCATCGGGACCACTACCCCCCTCTCCATCGCGCCACTCCGCTGCCCATAAAAACGAAATACTCCCGCGGCCCATCCTTACCCGCCCCGGCCCCCGAGAAAGGATAACTCATCCACTCCCTCCTCCGACGCGCGCACAAAAAAATCACTTCGAGGAAAAATCAATCAACTCCACCTGATAATTAAAGAAGCACCTCTCCCTCACTATCTCTCTCTCTCTTTCTCTCTTTCTCTCTCTCTCTCTCTCTCTCTCTCTCTCTCTCTCTCTCTATCTCTCTTCCTTCCCCCTTATCCATCCCGCCCAACTGCACAAATTTATATCTTGTTTGTACATAATAATCGCCTCCTCGCCTCCTGCTTATTCTCCCTCGATTTATCCAACGCTTCGCCTTCGCGCGCCGCCTTCAACTCTCCCCCCCCCCCTCAACGCGCTCCGCACATCCGACCGCCGTGTATATGCATTACGAGATTGCAACAGCGGCGCGTTTCCGATCTGGCCATCAGCCGAAATCAATATCCAGCAGAGCCTCGTGCGATAAGCCGGCTCGTAAATACAGGCGCGCGAGCGCGCGTACACGCAGATACGGGCCCAAGGGCCCTAGCCAACAAGCGGTGAGGGACGCGATCTCGAGCTCGGCAGCGCAAAGAGCAGAGAACCCGTGAGGAACCCGATGCCCCCGACCTCTCCCGCACTCCCGTCGACCCACCCATCGACGAATGGCCCCCCGCTACTCCCTTCTCAACCACGGTCACGGCGGCGGCGGCAGCGGCGGCAACGGCGGTGGCGGTGGCGGTGGCAGCGCGCGCGTGTTGCTGCCGCCGCGACGACGACGCCGTTGCCGTCAGTCGACTGGCTAGCGCCGAGCGGCTCGGACGTAGTATTTCCGCTTCTCGGAGCTACCCTCCACGAAGCAGCCTCGCCGATTCCACAACGGCTCAAGTGCGCTCCTGCAGGTAGCTGCGGTGGAGGAGCTCCAAAGCCAACGAGTCCAGGGAGTAACAGAGACAGTTTTAAAAAGGGGCCAGAGATTGAGCAAAATCGAAGGGGGAGAAAAAAAAAATATATATATATATATATTATATATATAAATAGGGAGGGTGAGAGAGGGGGGAGTAAGAGAGCAAGCGAACAGATAGCGAGTAGCTTTCTCGGAGACTTGAATGCCTGTGTGTGGTCCCCGGCTCGTCGTCGTCGCTACCACTACCGTCATCGCCATCGTCATCGCTATCGCCATCGCCAACGCCACCGCCACCACCACCGCTAAGGCCACCACCACCGTCAGCGACACCATCGTCCCACCATCACCTCTGGCGCAGCACCATCATCAGCACCATTACCACTAACCGACGCTACCAGCTCACTCGATAATAACCGTCAGGAGGAGCGATCTTGATCGCGACGCGCGAGATTACTCTCGAGAACTGTTGCGAGCTTCCCGGGTGCCCCTCACTAAGGCAAAGTATGTCAATACATACGGGCCCACGCTGCCACCAGCAGCCGTAGTTGTTTATGGTATCCGACAGTGAGTGCCTTGGAAAGTCGGGGGAGGTTATGTGAGCCAGCGGCTGACAAGCGCCGTAGCCTCTTTTGTTTTCGTTTTGTTTTTTTCTTTTAACGTGCGCGCGTGGACACGTTGGTGAACTACCTGGTTCGCGAAGTCGAGGATGACGAATTCGAGCCGGTGAGATTGAAAGAGCGGTAGGGAGATAGAGATAGAGATAGAGATAGACATATATATATATATATATATATATATATATATATAGAGAGAGAGAGAGAGAGAGAGAGAGAGTGAGATAGAGAGGGTGAGGGTGAATTGGCGAAGAGTGCAGCGGACAGGTGCGGAGTTCGGAGAGGAGTGAAGAGGAAAGGAATAACCAAGATCAGCGTGGACGACAGAAGAGTGCGGGCGCGCGGTGTCCTTATTTTCTCCCTGGAGGATAAAGACGCGCGACGGCATTCATGTTCCTCGGCAATTGCAGTATGGAAGACTTGAGTGTGAGTATTTGCTTATGATGTTACTACGTACGTGTCGATGGATCCCGTTTCCCTTATCAACCCCCGCGGCCGCTCCAATCGACCACGATCACCAGGGTTCTGATTAAAGTTCGCGACGGCAATCCGATATCCGTCCAGGGATCTTCTCAATTGCCACTTTCAGGTGTCCGCCTCTTCCTCGATAAACCATCGTGACGACGAGGAACGCGTTTCGTAGGCGCTACTCCTAAAATTACCCGGATTCAGGACCCGGGGCACGCGCTGATCCCGAAGCCCCGATATCCCGAACGCCCCGGGCCCTTATCTATTTATTGGCGCGGCGATTACACCGGTTCTGCACCTTGCGACGAGGAGCTTGACTCGGCACATCCCGAGAGCCCTCGACGTAATGATAAAACGAAGGCAGAGAGGCGCAGAAGCGTGGGGCGATGTCGGTGGCGGAAGGGGTTAGGGAGCCGGGTAACGGCCCTTACCCGGACCTGATTTATCGCCGAGGAAACGGCGCGCAACCATCCGCCCCCTAAGCACGCACCAAGTTCAAGAGCTCGAGGCGAGGCGAAGCGAGGCGAGGCGAGACGCGAACTCATTAACGACCCGCGCAACTCCATCCCCAGCGTGATCGCGCATTGGTGACATTTCGCAGTCGGACTTTTTACGGCTAGAAACTCGCGACTAACGGCGGAAGAGATTGAGTTGTAGAGCGATTAGCGCACGTGAGAGAGCTGCTTTCGAGGTGTCGGTGACGCGGCGGTGGGGCGGAGAGAGGGGTGGTATGGTGTAGTGTGGCGTAGTGTGGCGGTGTGGTTTGGCGAGGCGGCAAGAGGGGCCACTTAACTACACGGTAAACAATAGGAAAGTCCGGTCCGCGTTATCGCGCGTGTAAAATCTCAGCGTGACGAAAAGAGCGAGCGAGCGAGCGAGCGAGCGAGCACAGAACGAGTTGAAGAAAGAGGGAGAGAGAGAGATAGAGAGAGCTAGGGGAAGGGTTCTCGCGAGAGCCGGGGCTTATTAGTTCGCATTGAGCGGACAATGCACCAAGATTGCATATTGTTGTTTATATTTAAAGCCCGCGATGTATAAATCTTCGTTTAACTCGCATTCAAGAGGGTCGGAGATAGGTAGGTAAAGATGGTGGTGGGTGAGTTGGGGCGGATAGGTGGTTGGGTAGAACGGGGGTGGCAAGGGTTGGGGAGGAGCAGAGCGCGAGAATATGGGTTTGGGTGGTCGTTGATTTGCAAGCCAGGCGAATGCTACGCAATATAGTGTCTTCTTCAGGATTATGGGCCCGGTATGGCCGACGCTGCCTCTCTCGTTCTTTCCGATTTTGTAGTTCGAATTGGTGGATTAACGACGAGGGGAGCGCGCGAGCCGATGGACTCAGACGTCCATTCAAATCAAACAGCCGGCACGTGTAAGCGCGGGTGTAAGTGCCGCGGCGGCGGCTCCGCGTTTTGTTGTTGGCTTACTTCGCGTAAAGTGGAGGCCGCGCTCGGCTATTTAATGGCCCCTCGTCCGATGCTTTTTTCGCGCTCCGGCGATCGATGCTTTGAATGAGCGTCGTTAAGGCAGCGCAATAAATGCTTTACGATCCGAATAACAAAAAGTTGCCCACTAAAAGTTTTCTATTCCTTCATTTTATAATGTTTACTCAAGCCGGCCGACGGGCCACCGCTGCAGTCACCTCGGTCTTTTTTAGTCGTTCGATGCTCGCGATGGTCCCGCGACCGGATTATTGGTCGGTAGGGTGAGGGGCGGGGGAGGTGGATAGCCTTTGGCTCCTTGACGATAGCACGGGACGGTGAAGTCGCGAGTAGGTTAAGCGATAAAAATCGCGTGTCTCGTAGCTCGAGGTGGCCGGGGCACTTGGTAATCGCGATGCGCGCAATTTTTGCAATAAATCGAATGAGCACGCGACAAAATGAGATTGCGCTTTTCACGAGCTGCTGTTGCCTTATTGCTTCTGTAGTCTTTTGTTCGTTTGTTGTGCACCGGTCCACGGGCGTACGTGCGCGCATCCATTTTTGCAGCGCATCGCGGGCGATCGTTCGATCGCGGCGATATTTGTTGGTGCAGCAACGATTTTAATTTAAATTTAAATTAAAGTGGCATTGGAATTTCATTTTTCGGAACCGCACGATTCCTCGTACATCATATTGCCGGTATTATCCCATACGGGCTAATTATGGTAGGAAAGGAGCGCGCGATCACGAAATATGGCTAAATAAAATGTTTGCGTTTATTTAAAGCCGCTTATAATCAATAATTCAAGCCCGTGAAGCTCTGCGAATATTCTTAAACGCATTAATAACGCAAATAATTAAAAGGCTGAATTGTACGAGGCTCATATTTCGAGATCGAATATCAAACGTAAATTACTATTGATACATTAACGAACATTACAATCAAAATTGATCAATTTCCGGCCTAACGAAACGTTAAACGAAAGGGCATAAATAAAAGAAGAATAAAAAGAACAGAAATTGAAACATTTGAATCATTAACTTTTTTGTCTCACGTCTAAAACGTCCAATCATACTTGTGGCATAAGTGAAGTTTGCTCTATCTAAGATGAAATTTTCACGAGTGCACTCACAATTCGTGGTGAGAGTTAGTGCATGTACATGTATGTCGATAGCCCAAGACAAAACCCTTTCACAACTTTGCTTGTCGATTAATGTGAGAGCGAGAGGACAGAAAAGAGGATAGATGGATAAATTGAGAGAGAGAGAGAGAGAGAGAGAGAGAGAGAGAGAGAGAGAGAGAGAGAGAGAGAGTTGAGAAGTACGAATCGTGAGGTCGAGCAATGGCCGACACAAATCAAATGTAGGGATCGTCACCATTTTTTGCTGACTCAACTTGCCGTTCCAACGTACCTCCCTCCCTCCCACCCTCCTTCGCTCACTCCTTTTTTTCTCTCATCCTCTTTCTCCGTGGTACATGTCTCTATAGAACCGCGTGCACACACGCAAGAAATTGCTACACGCCTGCGGCAACAATATACTTTGTTATCCTTATCCTCAATTAACGTTTCGCTTGTGTATCGGGACAACTGCACAATTCTCCCCCCCCCCTCTATCTCCACCCCGCTCGCCATTTCCCATTACGAGCATCTTGAGAAATACAAAATCATCGTCAATTTGGTGTCCAAGAGCTCCTCTAATTTTCTCACTCCACCCACCATCAGCCCGATTATAATTGATATAATTTCAAACGCCCAAGTAAATAGCGCGTCTCTCTCGGAATTCCGCTGCGGTCCATTTTAGATGCGTGCTTTAACAAAGTTTTCGGCCGAGCTACCGAATCAATTACAAGGATTTATTCGTTCGGTGCACGACACTCATTTATAATCAGTATGTCATGAATTATTACACTGTGGTGTATCGTTATTAATACAATTACGATAACGGCAGGCAAGCGTATCAGCTGCAAGATTGATCGCCGTATGACTTTTGCCGTTACGCATAAAAGTACGTTATAGAGACAAAGATAGATAGATGGATAGAATGAGAGGGGGGGAGTAGAGTTTGTTCGTGTGTGTGGGAGAGAGAGAGAGAGAGAGAGAGGCAGACAGACAGACAGACAGACAGAAAGCCAGAAATAGGCCGACAGTCGGTCGTAGGGATGAAGGGAGTTGAAAGATGCCAAAAGTCGTTACGTTATCCTTTGGCTCCGTACTGAAATGTCCGGAGAAACTCGCTTAAGCTTGGGGGAAGATTTCCACGCTAAGCTGTCGAAAGTCACGCGAAACTTTCAACAACTCCCGTAGAGTCTCGTTAACGAACGTCGCGAGTCCCCGGCACGTTTCGACAGATGTCCTGAAACAGAGAAGAAAGTACGAGAGAGAGAGAGAGAGAGAGAGAGAGAGAGAGAGGTAAAGAGTGCCGCGAGGCTCTTAACTAATGGCTTAATAGACGCGCGGTCGAGTAGTGCCATAAGCCTGACACGAAAAGTCCATCGGCGTCGCTGACCTTGGGCCCGTATGGCCGGAAGTGTCCAGCGACTCTACACGACAACCTCAGATATTCGCGCCCGTTAAAGACCCTCGTAATTACATCGGGATGCAAACGATAGAGCAGCGGGGCCCGGCGGAGGCGATCGCGGTGGCGCAAAAAACCGGCCCATCAATCCGCGCCGAGGTAACATACATTTAATTGCGCGAGCGCGCATGGACCGATGGAAATTAATGACCAGTCATTATCGCTCTGTATAAAAGAGGCCGTCGCGCGAGCACTCGTTAAAGGAACCTCGGTAATTGCACATAATTAATCTGGACCTCGTTAGGCCAATATCCGCGTCGCTGGCTCTTATTATCCGCGGTAGCTCCAACTGGCGATGCTTCGACTTGACGCTCGCCCACATCTAACCTGCTAATTCAATTTTCCACGTCCCTGTCCGTGGACACGAATTATTATGGCCACGAACCGCGCGCAACGTCCATCGACTAGGCCGCTCAAAACGTGCACGGATCCACGGGAAGGTGGATAGCGACAGAGCCCCGTGGGCGACATATAAATCGCTCGTCGTGTTCCCACACCCCCGCGAGACTCTCGGTCGCCCTAGCAACGACTTCCACGGGAACGCGTAACTTTCACCTCCGGCGGCTACGGCGCGCGACGTCCTTTATATCAAGTTAGCCCGATCTCTCCTGCATGCTTCCTCTCGTGGCGCGTATAAATCTCGCGTCTCGCCCTACCTGACGCCGGCGCATCCGTTCTCGTAAATTCACCCCGCAATATCGTTGTATAAGGTGGAGCTCTCGTTTTTTTCACGCCGCTCTCGTCTCCCTCTCCTCCGCCAAATTCATACGCTCGAGCGCGAGAGAGTATGAAAAATGCCGTCGCGGACTCGATAATTACCAGGCGTCTCTGTAGTCGGCAATTATGAAATTTGCATTGGACGACGACTGGAGGCTGCGGTCGAGCACTGACCCTGAAATTTCGTCCGTTCGACATTTTTACACGAGGCGTACCTCGGGCGTGCGCGGCTCACGTACTAGCGCA